CACGTTAAAGGAAGAAGAAGAAAAAAAGATTGGGTGGAAGAGAGATTTGAGGGAGGGCAAAGTGGTTTCAAATTTTTCCAATGCATTCAAGAGCAGAATGGCAATAGGGGCTGTGTGACCTAACAGGACAGAACTTTCTCCAATTACTGGGTGACTCAGAGCCGCACTGGTGACTCACTTCAATGTGTCATTTCCGGCTGCTGTATGTGAGCAGTGGACACGTGGGGGATGGGGGTGGGATGAAAGAGACAGCCAGCTCCCGGTCAACCACCTTAGTTAGATAATCATTTTTGAAAGCCTCCTTAGCTGGGGTATGATCAGAAAACCAATTTACTGAAAAACTGCACAAGAAGGTAGCGTGAATGCAATCTCATAGCAGGCCACTCTGCATCCATTATGTCTCCACCGGAAGAAAAAAACAAAACCCATTCTCTTTGGTTTTGTTTCTCTCTCTTCCTCTCCCCTCTCTTCTTCCTCTACTCATTATGCACTGGACAGCCATACACCGTGTACCCACAGAGGCCCCAATGTGGGGGTCAAATGTTCTTGAATTTTGTTGGTAACATGCTTTTTTTTCACTTTTGATATATAAACAGGTGAATATGTCTTTAAAAACAATAAAAACAAATAATATGCAAACAAAATTGCTTGCTTTTTGCCTTTTCTGTTTTACTCAGCACATGGAGTCAAAGCCATACTGGGGGCCGGTGAAATGGCTCAGTGGGTAAAACATTTGCCACACAAGACTGATGACCTGAGTTCAAACCCTGGATCCCACGTGATGAGAGAAGAGAACTGACCCCTGAAAGCTGCCCTCTGACCTCCACAGGGCACACTCGTCCACATGCACCCACACAGATGACGAGAATGAGATAAAGTTAAGGGACAGGTAAAAGCAAGATAGCTCAAATGGTAAAAGCAGTTGCTGACAAGTCTAAAGACCTGAGTTCAATTCTCAGAACCCACAGGGCAGAAGAACTGCCTCTTACAAATTGTCCTCTGGTTTCAACACATGCATGTTAAGCACACATTTGTGTACTCTCTCTCTCTCTCTCTCTCTCTCACACACACACACACACACACACACACACACACACACACACACACAAATGTAAATAAAAACAAGCCATTCCTGATTACAAGCCTGTAGTCTAGCACTTGGGAGGCAGAGGCAGGAAGATCTCCAGTTCTAAGCTAGCTCAGCCTCAGGTATAAACTGGAATCAGAACAACAACGACAATAACAAAAGAAACATAACAGACCCCCAGTGGTAGAGACTTTGGTGAACCACACAGGTATAAGCCTGTGGGACACTCCCTGAGAAAGTCACCACAGCTGTATGTCCTGCCTCAAGAACAAGTTAGCACAGGGTTAGATTCTCCCCCAGGAGCCATCTTTAAAATGGGCAAAGGGATACAGCTTGGTTGATACTTGCCCAGCATGCATGAAGCTCTAGGTTTGATCCTTGGCCCTTCATCAAACCAAGCATGGTGACATAAGCCTGTAATCCCAGTGCTTGGGAGGTGGAGGCAGGAGGATTTCAGAAATTCAAGATCATTTTAGGCCATGTAGTGAATTTGTAGCCAACCTGGGCTATGTGAGACCTTGTCTCCAGAAAAACAGAAGGATGAAAAAAAGAAGAAAGAAAGACAGAGAGGGGAGGAGAGGTAAACTGGGTTTGGTGGTGCACAACTTCAATCCCAGCACTTGAGAAGCAGGCAGACATCTGTGAGTTCGAAACCAGCTTGGTCTATGCAGCAAATTCCAGGCCGGCCAGGGTTCTATAGAGAGACAGACCCTGGCAAGAATGGAGGGGGGATTAATTAAAAGAGGAAAGAAAAGAGGGAGGGAGGGAGGAAGGAAGGAAGGGAGGGTAGGCATGCCTGTAACCCCAGCACTTGTTGAAGGTTCGGAGTTGGATACCACAATGAGCTTTACAGTGAGGTTGCATCTCAAAAGCAGGAGAGCAGGCTTGGAGGTGCATGCCTGTGAGCCCAGCATTTGGGAGGTAGAGGCAGGAAGATCAAGAGTTCAAAGTCATTCTCTGCTACACAGTGAGTTCAAGATCAGCCTGGGATATGTGAAAACAAGAAAGAAGAAGAGGAGGAAGAGGGAAGGGGTGGGGAGAAAGGTGGGAAAGAGGGAGAGAAGTCGAGACAGAGATCCAGATCCAGCAAACACTTCCCACCCACACCCAAGGTTCTAATTGATGTCATCTCTGGATTCTTGAATCTATTGCATTACAGACCCCACACCACCCCCTTCTACTCCTGCTCTCCACTTCCAGACCCAGATCAGGTTGTACTTCCTTCTGGGATGGCCCAGCAAAGCCAGACAGTGGGATAACTTTCAACATGACCCCAATTAGGTTCAGCTTTCCAGGCCTATAACAATGCTGGCATTCATGTGCCCAGGCCCATTTAGACGTCAAGTTCCCAGGAACCCAGGCTCTTTGTTACATTATACACTCTTCATAGCCACTTCTATTTGTTTATTTATTTTTAGTTTCTCGAGACAGGGCTTCTCTGTGTAACAGTCCTGACTGTGCTGGAACTAATCCTGCAGACCAGGCTGGCCTTGAGCTCACTGAGATCGCCTGCCTCTATCTCCCAAGTGCTGAGATTAAAGGTGTGTGTCACTACCACCTGGCTCCATAGCCACTTTTAAAGACCTTCATAAACACTCACTCTCTCTCTCTGCCTCCATTTTGGGGCTTGGGGGCTTATATATTTATTTCTGGTGTGCAGTGTGTGCAGGGCTGGGATTCTAAGTGAGAGCTTCCAGAGTTCTAGGCAAGAGTTCTCTAGGCTGGAAAGAGTTGGCCAGAGATGGGCTGAGGACTTGGCTCAGTGGTGGGGTACTTACTTGGTACAATGGTGGGGTGCTCGAGGCCTTGGGCTCAATCCCCAGCACACAACAGAAAAATGACAAAATTGAAAGCACTAAGGGAAAAATCATCAATACCCCTGGGTCAGCTTAGCCTAGAGATTCAAACAAGATAGTTCTATACTGAGATTGCAGCCCAAACTTCAGCTGAGGCCAGGCAGCGTGACTCAGTGAGTAAAGGCATTCGCTGCCAAGCCTGGGGATGTGAGTTCCATTCCCAGGACTGACGTGTGGAGAGAAAACAGATGAGTGCCATCTTTTATTTTCTGACCTCCA